GACAAGCAGCCTCTCCGCAGGCTGGTAAGAGAGGAGCAAACTTGGGGTCCTAAGGAAAACAACATTGCTTCACCATTCCATGTGATCCCTTCACAAACACGGAGAACAGAAGCACCAACCCAACAGAGATGCAGAGGAAAGGCCACGCACTCACTGAGGCAGTTCCTTGCTGTGCCGAGTGCGCTGCGAACCTCGCCACGTGGTTTATAATAGGAGAGAAATTGGTTGGCCCATAGAGTCGGATCTGCGGCAGGATCTGGCGGTAGGCATCCACTATTCCTTGGATCCCTGTAACACAAGGAAGACAAGCTGCCACAAGAGCCTCGCGACTTCTCCAGTAATTATTTTATAAGCATTAATACATAACACAGCAAAAGGATAATAACCCTCCTGCGGCTGTGAACTCCTACAGAGCAAATAAGCAGCAGGATAACAGCAGGTGCACAAAGCGTGGGGCTGAAACCATCAGAGAGCTGCAGAGACACGATTTGCAGATTTCTCCCCTGTTCTACATCTTTCCCATCACCCCCTGTGCCTCTAGCATCAGAAAACTCATGGAAGTTGTGGGAAAAGCCATCGGTTAAGGCACACCAAAGACCATGTTTACCTTGTCCTGCCTACCCTGTCATCCAATCTGTCTAGTTTAATTGCTTATAGTCTAGTTAGACAACAAGAGCAGAAGCTCTCTGGAACTGTAACTTTTGGTTTTCCTTGTGTGGAAGTTAAACAATGATCCCTAATTCAGGATTCAAACATTTCTGTAATGGAAACAGCAATCCCTAAGGTTTTTCCTGTGCAAAGCTTTTCTAAGCTTTTAACTAAACAGAATATTTTTAAATGTTTCATTTTAAATGGCGAGTATTCTTCTGTGGATTCATCTAAATTGGCCTATTCCTGTTTCGTATCAATGAAGTTTCATTTGCCACCGCTGCCTGCACTGTCCATTGTGCAGGTTTTAGTGCAGTACCTCTCAAAAACTACCCTTAAAGCGCAAAGACACAGATCCCAATGAGGCAGAAAATGCTGAACCTACCAAGAAAATGCTGAATCTCAGATTCCATTTTTGGTTGGCCTTAGACCAGAGAGAAAAACTGAACTCAGTGAACTCCAGGTGAGAGTAAACCCAGTTTGCTGCATGTCTTTTCTTCACCAGTTATGAAAGAAATGCAACACTTCAAACATTGGTCCCTCGCAGCAAAGTATGAATAAGGAGGTGTCCTCACCTTGACAGTACGGGTTGCTGGGGTTGAAGTTCAGAGCAAACTCATGAGACACCTAGGGAAGGGGACACCACGAGCAGTTAGGGAACGCAGACACGAACAGAGCGACTGCCCGGCGTTGCGCGGGCCCTACCTGCCAGCTAGGAGGAACCTGAGCTCCAAACCCAAATGCAGGAAACAGCTTGTCCCTGGAGAAAAAGAACAACAACAAGAGATGAAAAAGAACAACTCTTTAATAAGTCACTATTGTGTTTTATTCCTGAAAAGCAGCTGGAGACCAAGGTTCAATTCCTGCCACAAGCAATGGGCACACCATGGAGCTGCTCAGGGCCAGTCACCAGTTGCCCAAGGGTCTCATGCTTGGGCTTCACAGCTCCAGCATTCACGTGCAGCGCCTCAGAGGACTCTCAGTTTTGGAGTAGCAAGAGAAAAGCCAACCCGAGCACAATCCAGCTAAGCGATAGAGCGGACAAACACGTTCCCATGGAAACACACACGACATGCAGCATCAGCATAAGGGATCAGAGACCAGCGACAGCAGCGTGACAAAGAAACCAGACAGACCTGGAGGGACAGACCAGGCAAACAGGCCAAATGACAACAGACTGCCCCTGCCCTCCCTCGCAGTGACAGAAGCGGTAGCAGCTCCTGAAGGGAACTCCCAAGGAAAGGCAGCACCTCAGTCACTCAAACGCTACAGCTGTGACCTATCAGCCTTCACCACTGACACCCCCTGCATCACGTTTTTGACGCGGTGGCTGGATCAGTTATGAGCATTACATACGTGTCATAGTCCTGGACTACGCTTCCCACACTCCAGATGGCGATCAGGTACTCATTGACCCCATCTGGGCTGATGTAGTGAAGCGAATCTGGTGACTTGGGATCTCCATTGGAGCCAGTGAAGTCTACACCCACCTAAAGAGTCAAGATGACAACAGCAAATCACAGGTACATCACCACAAGCTAAGGAGAAGAACCAACCATACCCAGAAACAGGGGGTTAAGACCAGGCCCACAAGCAGCCCCACACAGCAACAGGCAAACAAGCCTGCATACCTCTTCCCACCCGGGTACACACGTATTTAAGAAGCAGCAACCCTTCCCGCTGATGGACTGACCTGACTTCTCAAAAGAAGCTCAAGAAAGCCTAGCTCCATTGAAGTTGCTACTTGATCACAAAAAGTCAAAATATAATTCATTTTTTGCAGTCTTCATCACTGCAAACTCACACTGCATTTGCAGCCACTCGCACTGCGAATAAAAATGCTAATCACAGCTTCATTGCTCTTGTCCTGTCGCCTAGTAACATGTCCAGTGGGGAAACAACTTACCGTAAAGTTAATCTGGCAGCCTCCCATGACGTAGTCCAGGAATGAATATTCTGTCTCAATCTAGAGGAACAGACAAACAGTGTTACACCTCCCCTCCAGAAGAGCAGATCTCATTAGGATCAGAAAATAGAAAAGCCAAAACCCAACAAAAACCTTCCTACCTTGCAGGATTTTATCCTAACAATGCCAGAGTTTTTGTAGTTCTTTTTCTTTTGTTTTTTCTCAGGGTGAATGCATTCAAATTCCACCTACAGAAAGCAAGCACGCAGAGTTCCAAAATATCTGCATTTACAGCAGAGTAAATTATTAAAGCAGAATGGTATCAAACATCACACAATTGCAGTTACCCAAACACTTGGCAGAATTCTTAAATTTAATTTTAAAGGGTTTGCAACTACTTGGGCTGCCATGTGCTTTTGCTACCTGCACTGGGCAAAACACAAGAAAAGGCCTCAAAGAAGTCTCTCCCCTCCATAACCTAACTGTTAAAAAAAACGGTGTCATTGTATTAGAGGGAAAAAAGTCCATCACAAATACAAGCATTTCTCTGAACATAACCAGCTTCTTTTTTCATTAAGCAGAGAGAATGCACTCAAACAGGAGATGAAAAGGCAAAACCTCTGTGTGGGGGAGCCCAAAGAAGCTGGCAGGCTCCCACTGGCAGCGTTTCGCTGCTTTGTTTCACGTGCGTTAGTTCTTGATTTCACGTGGGCTAGGGAAAAGGCAAGAATCTTCCACCCGCTTTCGGATTACAAGCACACAAATCAAGCTGGCTGGCAACCGGGAGCCGTCGTAGCCTGTCTTGTGTGCGCATTTCCTGTCTGAATTCAGGTGAGACATCTCCAAGAGAATGAGAGTTCAGGTTTTCACCGCAGCCAACTGAGAGAACCCGGCACCACCAGCAAACGATTCAACTTACTCTGAAACAGATGCCCGAGGTAAGGTGAGACGAGTGCCCCTTCCTGTCTGACCTACTCTGGGTGACCCTGCTCTGGCGGGGGGGTTGCACTAGATGTTCTTTCGAGGTCCCTTCCAAGCCTCAACATTCAGTGGTTCTCTCTGCTACCTAGAAAGGCGACCAGGGTGCTTGTGAGGGTGACCAGCCCAAGCACAAATGTGACCTGAGATGAGCCCTACTGCCGGACTCGTTTGCTGAAGCATGAACAAGCCCTTTTATTTCCACTTGACTCAGCAGAGGCAAAAACAACTGCTGGAAAAAATGCCTCGTGGCCAGGAGACAACAGGCTCAAAGATGTCTTTAGGAACAGGAGTGGTAAGAGCACCCATGGAACATCGAGCAATATTATTCCCACACCAGGTTTTATTCTTCCCAGACGTCGCCTAAGTAATACAAAGATACCGACAGAAAAATTCACTTCTGGAGGCAACAACTAAATATCTGGGAGGTCACTATTAAAAAGGGTTTGTGAAAGACTGACTTATGGGCTAAGGATTGATAAAGCTCACCGGAGAGCTGTCCCCTGCGTTCTGCAGCTGGGTCAGGTTCGTTTCGAAAGCACCTATCAAGTCGTGCGAGCCGTCGCTGTCGTGATCCGCACACTGTACCTGAAAGGGCAGAGAGAGCAAGCGGTGGGCAGGGCTCTGTGTGAGGGAGCACGGCAGCTGCTTGATGCCCCATCTCCTGTTCCCACACCTCTGCAGCGATGCCAGTAAACTCCCCTTTCACATCTGTCCCTGCACTGACCAAAACCTGGCAGTAAGAGACACCCAGAGCAAATCCCAGAAGACGTTCAGTTGTTCACCCGTTTCAGTACGCACAGTGAAATTGGCATTAAAATCCTTCTCCAGTTTAAACACGAGAGGTTTAAAAAACAAAACACAGAAAAACTCGAGGTTTCACAGACCAGATGTATAAATGTAAGATCATTCAGGACAAGTTACACAACTGGGATAATGGGAAGAAACAATTAGAAATTTGTTATCTAAGCACTTCCTGAATATACGCTTTTCTTCTGCCCAGCAGTAGCACTGATTTACAAAGAAACTGCAGTGTCTACAGAGCACTAAGTCTGCCTGTTTCTGAATTTTGTATCAGTCAAATTATTAACATTTAATAACAAGTCATGTTTAAACCAGCACGACAGCTTCAGAACTAGATAATGCGAAAGAGTAATGCATTTAAAAATAAAAACACGCTGGTAACTACGGCTTAGAGCAAACACGACATACATCGTCACCAGCTCCCCACAAATCGACTCTGAGGAGCGTTTAACACGCGCAATACACACGACTGCACATTCAAAAGCTCTCTCTTCCCGAGATCTGCCTTTAGTCATCAAGCAACCGATGCCACTCCCGTACAAACGAGTGACAGCATTCACCTCGGGACCAAGAGAAAAGATGAATCCATGGGTAACACCTTGATAAGACTGTCAAATTCAACAGCCAGGTATCTAAATTTGAGACGGGGTTCTTTCAGGACTACTTTGCTCCATTAGGTATCTTCCACTGGATCAGTGGGAAAGTAGTGCGAGACAGGTGAATTACAGCCTGATGCAGCCACCTAAACGGGAAGCACCACGTTGACTTTCAGGCTCTTAACGAGAGCACCTTCGAGACTGTGTCCCCTTCTCCCCACTTCATCTTTCCCAACCCGTCACCTTTCCACTCCTCTCTTCAGCATCCTCCACCATGATGCAAGTCCCACTTTCCTGCCTGAACTCCACTCCATCTCAACAATTCTGATTTTTAAACACCATCCAAAAGCAACCGGATTACACCACGGAGGGCTACGAAGGAGGCTCTCGTGCAGAAGGCAGGGCGAGGACTCCCGCTGCAGCGTCTCCTTCGTGCCAAAAACACCTGCAGAGAATTCAGCAGCTGCCCCCTCCACGCACTTCCGCTTCCCTCCCAGCCACACCAACAAAATCGTATTTAGGATCAGCTTAATTACTAGTTCACAGCATGATATGGCTTAAACCAAAGCCCTTTTTGCAAGGGTTTTCTGAAACTGGCCAGGATTCACTGTAAGCAGCCCAAAGCACAAGTCCTGCTGCAAACCAAATCCTGCTAGCAACATTGCAGGGCCCTGTATATAGCTATTCACTGATAAATTATTTCTTCACAAATGCACTCTCCAACACTCATTATAAGCCTTGGAATACAGTCAGTGGGTAAAAGGCTCCCCTCATCTGCAGGAGGAACTTTCAAAATTCACAGAGCATGGATTCGCCTTTATGTTTATGCCATCGAGCACATGTACTGGCAGCGTTAGTCCCAATACCAACACCCACAAATGTCACATTTGCTATTTCCATTTAAATAACTACAGGGAGAGACGCTACTTTTATTTCCCCCTATTTTTAATGAAACTGTCAAGAAGATGAGGCTATCGCAAATCTGAGCTGTTTTTAACCAGAACACCACTCCACATCAAAATGAAGAAAGAATTACCGAACTCTGAGACAGCTTCATTAATTTGTTCAAAGGATTTATGTTCACGCACATACTCAGTACGTAATCCTCATAGATAGCTAGTAAAATTGATGTTTAGGGGATATATGAAAATAGCTGTTTCCACTGTGCTCAAGTACAAGGAGTTCTTCCTTCCTCATGTGTACCTGTTCCTGGGTAAATTTTTGGAAGCCTCAAATGAGAGGTTCAGAGCAGCAAATACCAAATGAAAAATTAAACATCAGTGCAATATTATATTCTTTAGTGAAACTCCTGCCTGTCAGCCTGGATTCTCTGTTCTGACTTCCCCAACCCTCACCACAGCAGTCCCACGCCGAGCGGTGGTGTGCTAGCGAGGTCCTTTGGTCCTGCCGCCTGGGTGGCAGCAGGGGATGGGGATCCACATGGCAGCAAAGATGCAAGGGTGATTGACAGGTCAGAAACCACAAACCTGCCCGAGAATGCTCGCAGAGGGGTTAGGACGTCTCCCGGAAAAAAGGTGGCAGGATCACGTGAAGGGCACTTCCACCAACGTACACAGCACGGGCAACAAACAGGAGGAGCTGGAAGCCGTCGAGCAGCAGGAAAACTGTGACACAGCTGCCATCAGGGAACTGACTGGCAGAACTGGAGCACTGAGCTGGACGGCTCTGAACTCTTCAGAAGGAGGAGAGGCACGGAAGGAGAGGCAGTGGAGCAGCCGTGTTTTGATTGTCTAGAGCTTAATGAAGGCGACACCAGGGTGGAGTGTTGATGGATAAGAAATGGAGGAAGGCCAACAAGGCAGGAATCCCGGCAGGAGTCTGTTACAGAGCGCCCAGCCAGGATGAAGAGGCAGACAAAATATTCTATAAGCACCTGGGAGAAGTCTCACAATCACCAGCCCGTTCTCATGGGGAACCTCAACCTACCAGACACCTGCTGGAGACTTTCCTGACACAGCTGGTGAGGGACCCGGCCAGGGAAGGCACCCGTTGGACCTGCTATTTGTGAACAGAGAGGGACCTGGGGGTGACATGACAGCTGGAGGCTTTCTTGGGCACAGCGATCACAAAATGATAATGAGCTCTCCGTTCCCAGAGAAACAAGGAGAAGGGTGAGCAGAACTGCTACCTTGGGCTTCTGGAGGGCAGATTTCAGCCTGTTTAGGGGACGGGTGGACAAAGTCCCTTGGGAGGCAGTCCTGAAGGGCAGAGGAGTCCAGGAAGGTTGGACATCCTTCCAGAAGGAAATCTTAAAAGATGCAGGAGCGGCCTGTCCCCATGTGCCAAAAGATGGGCCCGCAGGGAAGACCAGTCTGGCTGAACAGAGAGCTGTGGAAATCAGAAAAAACCAGGAGAATCTGTAACTCTGAAGGGCAGGCAACTCAGGAGGACTAAAAGGACATTGTGAGGTTATGCAGAGAGGAAATCAGAAGTGCCAAATTTAGAATTTAATCTGGCTACCGGTGTAAAAGACAATAAAAATTTTCTATACATACATACAACACGAGGAGGGCTAAGGAATATCTCCACCCTTTACTGGGTGCAGGGGAAAACACAGTGACAAAGGATGAGGAACAGGTGGACATACTTAGCACCTTCTTTGCCTCAGTCTTCAACAGTAAGACCAGTTTTTCTCCAGGTACCAGCCCCCTGAGATGGAAGACAGGGACGGGGAGTAGAATAAACCCCATAATCCAAGGGGAAACAATGAGCAATCCGCTGCTCCAGTTAGACACACACAAGTCTGTGAGGCCAGATGGGACGCACCCAAAGGTACTGAAGGAATTAGCAGAAGTGCTCACCGAGCCACCCTGCATCATCTCTGAGCAGTCCTGGCCAACTGGAGAAGTCCCAGCAGGCTGGAGGTTAGCAAATGTGACACAGATCTCTACAAGAAGGGCCAGAAGGAGAATCCTGGGAACTACAGGCCTGTCAGAAAGACCTTGGTGCCAGGGAAGGTAACAGAGCAGATCACCTTGAGTGCCATCATGTGGC